AACGGTGCCCACAGCCAACACTGAATACCTCAAAGTCCTCTTTTCCACTGGTAAAATATTCCGACAGTCACCAATCTCTACTTATTGGTGAGTAGCTTATCCATACTGATCTTTAGTGTCAAAATCTGACATGAGGCCCAAAAGATAATACTGCTAAATGTGGGTCCGGTTATGGTAAGCCAGTAACTATATGCCAATTTACCATTTCACTCTACATTTGTTCTGGGCAACAGTCTGTCCTAGAGATAACTTGAAATTACCCAACTCACTCACCCATTCCCACCAAAATTAAAGAAATAAAATAATATTGATCAGACGTCACTGAGATGATCTCATGATTTAAACATTTATGCCTCAAAAATAGAGATTATACATTAACAAATTACATGTTATATCCTACTGTACTATTATATATAATATCATTATATATTATGTATATTTATATCAACAGAATAAGCTTAAACAGTAAACAACTTGGGATATCCTCATTAACTAAATTTTCAGATCTACTGCCCTCAGCAGACAAAAACTATTTTACTAGAATGACACGGCATTCAAGCGAAATATGCTGAGGAAATACACACAAAAAATTACAAACATCAGTTATCTCTTCAAACACACAAGACATAAGACTTTAATATAAACCATTAAAGCCTCTGAACGTAACGGTACAATATAAAAGTACTAGTTAAAATACTAAGTAACAAATGTTAATCCAACGAATGCTGGGGATTCCACCTTAAACTCATGCCATCAGTCAATTAACTTGTCCAGGGAGATATTAAAATAATTTACAGGAAAGGGTTAAGCTACCGGTCTCAAACAAATTTCTAGACGTGATCCAGACACCTAATAAATATTTGTTGAGGATTTACTTCCTCTCTGTCTCACAGAGTACTTGGTGCTATGGAAAAAAACAACAACAAAAAAAGCATGAATCCTCGTTTTGAGAAAATTTATATTCTGGCAGGGAAAACACAGTAATCCAAGAAAGCAAGATTTAACCAAGTATACCACACATTGGCATACATCTCTGTACTTGGGAAAGTCTATGAACTTTATAAAAAGTGTTGACAGGGGACACAGAAATAGCGATTATTATGAATCTGGAAAAACAGTTTACCCTAAATGCTAATTCTTTACCACCTTCAAAATTGTGGGAAGTGGTTTGGGAGGTAATTTTAGCTGTATCAAGTCAAGGCATTAAAAAACACTTTAGTTATGCCTTTTAAATTATCTCTCAATTTTTCTAATCATTCCAACGACAAAGTCTCAGTTTGCTGCTGTTAGGTCTTCTATACTTTTTTTTTTTTTTTAACTTACTAATAGCTGGTTTCAGAGCCTTCTGCGAATGTCAGCATCTAGCTACAAATTAACATTTTCTTCATTGTATTTATTTTCATGGCAAGCTTTTATATAAAGCAAGTGACAGGATACACTTTCCCTTTATAATTAATTTTAGTTAACATTTTTCTTTATGTTAACTTTAAAACCCTGAGGGGAAAAAACACAAAGAGAGAGAGTACTGTCCTAACTATTCCGGATCCCAGGCAACTTCCTGGTTAACCAGGACCACCTTGCTGACTTTCTAGAACAATAAATAAACCTGCTTAACAAGTGGTAGAAAGGGTAACAGTTAAAACCTCTGTAGTTTCTACTCAACAAAATAAAGAAAATAAAGTATAACAGTTTACTCTGGAGGATGGGGGGTGGGGGTGGGGGTGGGGGTGATAGCAAGAGACTTCCTAACAAAGCAACTTTTATGCTGCCAGAAAGGGGCCGACCTACACCCACCCATACTTTAACTCTTTGAAAAACCCCTACCAGTATCCTTCGCCAATCCCTACCTGGCAATACCTGTTTATGTAGCAGCTGTCCCGAGGACTGTAATCTCCTCGTGGGCACAATCCCTGCGTTTTTCAGCTTAATTCTGGGGCTAAGTGGTTCCCCCTTTATCCCCTGTAGATACTCATTCGGTGATTGTTGGATAAATAAAATACACCTGGAGTTGGTCCTACACGCACAGCTTTTCCTTAAAAGACATCAATTTAAAATTAAGATATCAGGAGGTGTTGTTCTTTGATGTTAAGCCCGACATACTGATTTATGGATCTAGAGAATTTACCAAATTGTAAATAATTCCGTACAAATCCTGAATCTGCAATACAGGCCTTAAGGGTGTTGATGAAAATGCCACTAGTGTTGCCTCTACTCTTTCCAATAAGGCATTTGATATATTTAACATAGTTAAATGCAAGGTCAGTTTTTCTTTCAAAAACTTTATTTTAAATTGGAAAAAAATTCCTTTATGATTCCATTGTTAAACCATGAACACATCATCTGTATACCAGTTCTAGAGAAACAACCTGTACACAAGCCGAGTTTATGGCATAAATATGATCAATAAAAACCGTACCAAGTTCTAACAAAGTATAGATTTCCAGTAATACACAAAACTTAAATCACCAAACAAGGCATTTCAAGCTACAAATGTCTTTCCAACGTTGACTTTTCCCAGCGGTCTATATACACTGAGAATTTCAACATTCCATATTCTTCAGTTTTAGAAGCCAGGAGAATTTCAGTAAGTAGGAGTCAGCTTACTAGGGCTGACCAAATAATATAAAGTTACCAAGGTGAATCACAAGAGAGATGCTTAAATCTATTCGTTACGTAACTACTCTCAGTAACAAAACTAGTAAGAGTCCTTCCAATGATGAGCTCTTAAAAGGCACTAGAATATGAAGATTTTAGAATTATATAAGGATTGCAGTCAGTCAAAAGTTTACAGGTGGCGAACGTCTGCGTAACAGGTCTGCACAAATGTTCCTCCTCTGTCTTCAGCTAACAGTTTTAAGCCAAACTTGGCTCCTTTTCAATCACTTCTCTCTAGGCTTTCCAAGGGCATCAGATGAGATTGGTCCATGACCTTCGTCAAGAGGACATTCACAACAACACAGAAACACCTTCTCTTGTTTACAAATTCATTCTACTATTTTTCAAGGAAATACTAAAATCGAGGATCTTTTAGAATAAATGCTCTTCAACGTTACATTCTCCAAACCTTCTGACAACCCATAATGTTACTCAGCCTAAGCATTGCTATTTCTGGGTAAGGAAGACGGCAGGAATGACAGGGAAGGGGACAAAGAGGCCCAGCCTCTCTCCCTTTCTACCCAGCAAGAGTTAGGTATTCTCATTCTTCTTCCCCTGTAGCATGGCCAGACCTGATTTTAAGACAAAAGCAAGGTGAAAGCTGGCTTTTGGAGCAGCTCCTAAGGCAATGTGGGGCAGGACTTGCTTGGAAACACGCTTAGGAGTAAGGCAGTAAGTAAGTAAGGTAAGTGGGTCGCCAGAGGGCCGGAGGAAGAGAGATCTGAAGGTGGGGAGAGGTGGTGGTGGTGCTAAGTGGTAATACTAAGAGGCCATGACTATCTTGGCTAAGGAATGGGCAGGGTGAGTTTCTGCATGCAAAAAAACAAAACAAAACCAAACCCCACGACAAATCAGAATATCTGCATTTAGCTTTTTCTGTACTTGTGATTACTTTGTTTCTGCTTGCTCAAATGACATTCAGGTAGAACGCTTTCAATCGAGTGGGCCTACTAACTTGTTACAACATACACAGCATGGCATCATCATACCGTGCCATGTTCACGAGGAAGAGACCTACCTTCTTGCGAGGTGAACAGCAGTTCATTTCAAATACATCGCAATTTGTTTTGAAAGTGGTTATTGCTCAACCACTTCGAATTTTGAAACTGGTAATAGTTATCTAAGAGCCTTCACAAAGGCGTAGCCTAGAGGCTGCTTCAAAGCAACCGACAAATCAGAAGAAAGCTTACACTGAAAACCACGTGTCTCCGGGTAGGAAGTACATTACTGTTCCATTTCCCGAAAGTTCACTTTCCGTGTGAGCGTAACAATGTAAATATTTCTAAATACCACATTTGACATCCGCGCATTATTTGCCTCACTCGTAGAGGAGCTGGGATTCTTTCATCTGGGACCAACAAGTAACAATAATCTACCCTTAACATGAATACACGGGGTACCGAGTCAAAACCCGGGGCCGTTAACTGTGCAAAGCCCGGAGGCTGGGTTCTCGTGTCAACAAAGTGGACGGGAGGAGGCAAAGGTCTGCACGCTGGGGGCCTGCAGGTGGGGGAGTGGCGAGCGGCTTTTCGGGCGCTTCGAAACAATCCATTCCGCCCCCCCCCCC